AAGCAATGAACTATGCAAAAATCTGAGAGACGGGCATGTCCGCAGAGTGGACAGCAAGTGCAAAAGCCCTGAAGCAGGACTGAGTTCAGCATATTCAAGGGACAAAAAGAAAATTCCAGCCCAATGCTTGGTACACAGTAAGTCTCAATACATGGAATATACGAGAGCTGCCTGGAGCAGGTGCTGAACTGCGTAAGCTCTTGATCTCACCCGGGCTCCATGATTCTACACAGACAGGAGAGGGATAGCTAAGGGTGTTGGCAGGAGGGTGTAAGAGTCCTGTGTAGCTCAGCATGGGAACCTGGGCACTTCCAAGTGTTCCTCTCTCGTGGTCACTGCTTCTTAAGCCCTAGGGGCCTATCTATCGAAGCCTCTGCTTCCCCCTCCATCGTCCATATACCCTCATATGTCTGGAGGCCAGAGGTGAAAGCAAAGACTTGCCACAGAAAGCAGGGGAGACAGGCAGGCTTGAAAGCCAGCCCTCCAGGCATTACTGCTGCTGCTTGGCTTTGGTGCGGGGAGTTGTCAGAGAGAGGTTCTGCACAGGAAAGGAGGGGGCATGCTATCAACGCACACCCCAGCACTCCCAGCACACTTACTTAGGATGCTCCATGGGCACCTCGAGCACAAGGTCAGGTGGGATTTCAAAGAGCTCAGGGTCACGGCCATCTGCCTGCAGGACCAGAGGCACCACATCGAAGCGGCCATACTTGGGCTTCCAACCCAGGTCAATGCACAGCTGTGGGGCAAGATAGGCTTTGTGAGTCTGCAGATCCAGGCACCTTAACTCTTACTGGCCCCTCTCTGTTGCCCACTGCTGGGCTCCTTGACCAAAGAGCCAAGGCTGAGGCTGGCCGCATACCTGGGTGAGCTCCACACAGGCGGGGTCTCCTATGATGGTGCCGTCGGGCATCTGGTAGCCAGCATAGCGGATAAGCTGAGCATTCCACACCCGGAAGTCGTGCTTCCCATCAGTCCGCTGGGGGAACACCGTGATGGCCGACCTTCCCCAAGACAGAACAGCGCTGTTTACCGTGTGGCCCCCAACTACCTCCTCAATGGCCTCACCTCCCCTCTATTCTTCCTAATCACCACCCCCTGCACCCAAGCAGACTGGACCACCTGCAGCTCCCCAATGTGCCAAGCTCTCTCTGGCCTCTGTGTAACCTGCCCCATTTCCTGAGGTATCCTCTCCTTCCTTCCCCTTCCAGCTCCTACCCTTCCTTAAAGACCAGTGTAGGGATCTCCACTCTAGGAAGCTCTCCCCATCCCTCAGGTGAGTCCAGCAACCCCTCCTGAGCCCTCTCCCTCGCTGTACATGTGTTGCCTTGCAGTGGAGTTAGGAGAGTGCTTGGATTCATCGAGGGCTGAAGCAGGTCTTGGGGCCTTAGTCATCTCTGCAGCCTTCCCTTGTGTCCTCCCTCCCCCCTCTAACCCTGTGTTGGGTCCCCATAAGATGGGCACTAGCGTTTCTTTAACAAAGAATGAACGAGTGGCCAAATGAGCTGTTCAGCCTTGGCTTCTTTGGGTGGTGAGAGGTAGAGGGAGGGTATATTGATGGGCAATGGATCTCCTGCTTCTAAGAAAAACACCCATAAGAACCATCTGCTGGAAAATCTCCCAGCCTCCCCCAAAAGTGGAGAACCCTAACTCTGAACATCCTCTCCAAATGGTTCCAAATCAGTAAGAAACCAGGAAAATGGTCTGTCAACACAGGCTCACTCATGGAGGCTCGGCTCACTAATAGGGGCCCATGAAGAGGCCTGAGTCTTCCTCCTTTCTCTTTCTCCCTGGGTTCTCCTGGAGTCTAAACCTCCCCCACTAAACCCGCCTGTATCTTTTGGGTAGGACTCTGGGGCAGGCGGATCCCAGTCATAGCCTTGGGTAAGGCACACTCACCGGATGTTGCCCTGGTTGGTGGCATAGCGCACATGTCTGCAGATGTGCTCAAACATTTCCTTGGCAGTGGTACAGCTCCGGGCGTCAAAGACCTGCATACACCCCACCCAGACCAAGTCCATCAAGGACTGTGTGGACAGAGGCCTCACGTCCAATCAGAAGCTAAGAAGTCACCAAAGACTGAGGGGAGGAGCCTGAACACTCAACACCCAAATCAGTTGCCTTTGAGTCAACTCCAACTCATGGCCTCCCATGTGTATCAGAGTAGAACTGTGCTCCACAGGGTTTTCAATGGCTGATTTTTGGAAGGATCACAGGCCTGTCTTCCGAGGTGCCTCTGGGTGGACTCAATCTTTTGAGTGTTAACCATTTGCACCCCTCAGGGGCTCCACATACTAGGTAGAGGGATGTATTCTCCTCTTTACATCAGCTCCTCCCATCTCCCTGGCCACCATATCTCCTGCCCTCGTAAGTTTTGCCTGTGCAGGCAAATCTGCCAGGAAGAATCCAACAAAACAGAATCCCAAGAAAACCTGATTTGAACATGCCATGGATTGAGATATCTAGCCCAGCTGCTTTGCAACAAAGAAGGACATCGTAAGTGGGCTTCTGGCACCAATAACACAGCCAGAGTTGGTTTCCTTGGCATTTCTGATTGATTTCTCTGTTAAGTACTTTCAATAATACCCAACACTAAATGATCCCCCAGTAAAAGATGGCCTAGGAGCTAGGATAAATAAAATGTCCTCTACGAGGCAAGAATTCAAACATTTAAGGTAAACAGCCTCTCTCCTGGCACCAGGACCTCGATAATAATAGAAACAAGGTTGTTTGGTTTTTGATGTGCTTATTCTCCCAATTTTAATACAAGAGAAAAGGTCAGCCAGAAATCCTGGTGCTGAAAATAAGATTCTAGATGTAAAAAAAAAAAGGTTGTCATCAAGTCAACTCTGACTCATGGTGACTCTACATGTCAGCACAGAACTGTGCTCCATGGGGTGTCCAATGGCTGCTTTTCCACAAGAACATCCCCAGGACTTTCTTCCAAGTGCCTATGGGTGGACTCGAGTCTCCAAACTTTCAGTTAGCAGCCAAGTGTGTTAACTGTCTGCACCATTCAGGGACCTCTAGACATCTAGAGGGGCCCTATAATCCCATCTCATGTTCAGGGGTATGAAGAGAGAACTCAGGGCTGGGGGCACCTCTGGGCACAGTCATCTGCTCAGGGCATGCTCATCTCCCCAGCTCCCTCTCCCACTTGGGACTAAGGAAGTTCACCTTTAGGTTGGACCATTGGATCCTCCCAATGCAGCGGGGGGCATTGCGCCAGGCCTGCTTGGAGGCAAAGATGAGCTCATCCCCTGTCAGCTGGTAGGTTCCTGTTGTTTCGATCTCCTTTGTTACTGCTTCCACCCTGGCCAGATGTTCCTCTATTTTTGCCCTGGGGGACAGGAAGACATCCGGAAGATCAACAATGAGATGGCCTTAAATAGGATTTGCAATCCACAGAAGCAGGAACTGAGATAGGATGCCAGGAGGGAAAGAGATCCCCCCCCCCGAGACACTTCCTGCCAGGGCTTGGCTATACGTTACCTGTGCAGTCACACAGAACCTTGTGCTTAGAGAGGTTCCACACTTGCTTTATGCTCCACTGTCACCATCTTGAAATTTTTAATCATTTTCCAACAAAGAGCTTGCATTTTCATTCTGCACTAAGCCCTGCAAATTATGTGACCAGCCCTGGCCCACACAGAACGCTGGTATTTCCGGGCAATTTTTCTTTAACCATATATTCATTTTAGCTTGAGCAGGAGTGAGGAGTGTGGTTCTCCTCAGACACTTGCAAGCTGCCCATTAAGTAACAGCAACATTTTGCCTCAGAGTATGGGGAGCACCTGTCCACCTTCTCATGGTTAAGAGAGGGCAAGCCAAGCCCTCCCACAGCAGCTACTGTGTACTGAGTACTTCGTATGACTCTGGACTTACTATGACTCACTGAGTCTGTGAGAGAAGCATTTTTGCATTCATTTCATAGTCATAGGTATCGAGACTCTGGGAGGTTGAATATCAGGCCCAGGAACATCAGTGTGGTCAGGAGCAGAGCCAGGACTCAGACTTCGCCCCGTCTCTTAACTGCTTGTAGTACTACTTTCCACTCTAGGAGGATCGCAAGACAAGAGTGCCCATCTGACTTTTCCTAGGAGCCCAATCAGGCTACCCGGGGCCCAGCTCTGGGGACTCAGGGGCTGGCCCTCAGCACAGCGCCGCTCCTCCAGCAATTCCATACAGATCTGTCAACTTGCTCCTCCTCTCCCAGACTTTGAAAATATCCCAACAGGAGGGATTCAGTCAGAAAGGCTTTGAAATACACAAGCACACATACACACACCAACCTTGAGATTTCCAATCACCACCAAAGGCTTGAAATGACAATAAACTATTTAAGGAATGAACTCCTGATTAAGGACAGTAAAAAACTCAGAACACAATGGCCTTTCTGTGGATGAAGAGTGTCTCGACATCTCTTCTTGATTAAAAGAAAAAAAAAAAAAACCCAACACAAAAATACTGGATGATAATTATCCTCAAGGACATCGCTGGCATGAGGAGCTGCTGAGTGAGGGGGGATGCCGCCCCACCGCTGGAAACCCTCCCTCCCCAGAAAAGCTCCTAGCAATACTGCACGCCCCTCTGCAGCCAAGCATGAAAACAAGAGTGATCCTCACCACACAGGTGCTGTAATACACTTACACAGTAGGGTTAACATGCGAATACCTGAAAAATGGTTATTCTTTTATATAAATTGGCTCCCAATTGTTTCATAGTTTTATATTTTACCATTTTTCATAAAGTCACATTTCTGAAGCACTGAAAACTGTTATGAGGAGTCCCTGGGTGATGCAAACAGTAATGTGCTTGGCTGCTAACCAAAAGGTCAGCAGTTTGAGTCTACCCAGGGGCGCCTCTGAAGAAAGGCCTGGTGATCTACTTCCAAAAACTGAGCCATGAAACCCTATGGAGCCCAGCTCTACTGACACATGTGGGATCTCTGTGAGTCAGGGTCAACTTGGGAGCAACTGGCATCTTGTTGGTTTTTAAATTACATAAACCTGTTGCTGTCAAGTCAATTCTGACTCACAGTGACCCTACAGGATACAGCAGAAGCGCCCCACAGGGTTTCCAAGGCTGTAAATCTTTCCCAAAGCAGACTGTCACATCTTTCTCCTGCCGAGCACAGCCGGTGGGTTTAACTGCCAACCTTTTGGTTAGCAGCCAAGCGCCACAGTGCTACCAGGACTCCTTTTAAATTATACATCCATATTTTATTTGGCCAAAACAGCTGTTCTAATAACAGCTAATTCTTCTGTAGTGCTTACTACAGACCAGGTACTATTCCTACAGCTTATATACTTTAACTCACTGAATCCTTAGAAGCCTCTATATGTTGTTGTTGTTGTTGTTATGTGCCATCAAGTCAGATCCAACTTGGGTTTCCAAGGCAGTATCACTATAGACGTAGATTGCCCCACCTTCCTTCTGAGGAGTGGCTGGTGTATTTGAACCACCAGCTTTCTGGTTAGCAGTCAAGTGCCTTAGGCACTATGCTACCAGAGCTCCCTCTATATAGTAGATACTATTATTATCACTATTTCGGGTAAGGAAATTGAGACAGAGAGGTACCTTGCTCACAACAATCTCACAAGCCAGGTTCTATTATCATCTCGTTTCACAGATGAGAAATGTGAGGTACAGAGAAGATAAGTAGATTTCCCAAGGGTATAAAAACCAGGCAGTTTTTCGTTCTGTTGGACATAGGGTTGCTATAAGTTGGAGACAACTTGACAGCATCTGACAACAATGACAACATGAAAACCAAAACCTAAACTCATTTCCGTTGAGTTGATTCCAACTCATAGTGACGCCCAGAGTTTCCAAGGCTATAAATCTTTGCAGAAGTAGGTTGCCCCATCTTCCTGCCTTGGAGTGGCTGGTGGGTTTGAACCACTGAGCTGATTAGCAGCTAAATGCTTTACCCATAGGACTAGTTAATGATGGAACCAGGATTCAAACTCTAATAGTTATATTTCCAACTCACACGTTAGCCACCATTGCTATGTCTCTTTGTCCCACAATTATAAGAACCTACTTCAGGGTCATTTTCCTTGGAGAAGGAGGCTTTAGCCCTGGAGTCACTTGCACTCTGGGAAGGACAGGGGACTGGAGCTGGAGGGAAATGGCTGGAGACAGAGCAGAACCCAGGGGAAGGGGTAGGAAGCGAGCCTTACTCTTTGAAAGACCCATAATATTGGTTGACAAATTCAATAGCTTGAGGTAGAAGCTCATCCGGGGGTGTAGGCTTGTCCCTTGTTCCTCGGGTAAAACTTTTGTGGCTCATGAGGGCACCCAGGCAAGACTTGGACTTGCAAGCGAGATTCTGGAAAGAGAAGACATAAGATAAGAACAGGCTGCTTGGCCTACTGGGCAGGTGGTCATATCCATCCTCCCCCAGTGGCTAGTCCCTCTGGCCATCTCCTTTGGCTGCTTTGCTCTCTATCCCTATGGCACCTTCTCCTTAGGGTCCACCAGCCTTTCTCCCCAAGCAGATGTCTTCTTTCCTATTGGCTCTGTGCCCCAATGGGTATAAGCTGTGATTGGTCCTTCTACCCTGGGGCTCATTCTCTGGCCTGCTCCTCAGCCAGCCTCCGACCCAGAGTAAAGTCAACAACTCAGTCCCTTCTCAACTACCTTCTCATTTAAAGAGGCTGATGTTACCTCCTGTGGGGACATACTATTGATATACAGCAAAAATGAAAAGGAATGAGCAGATGTAAATCCCAAAGACACAGGATGGTACAGAAAGAATATTGGAAGGAAGTACACCCAAAGGTTCACTGTAGTACTTTCATGGAGGTGTGCAAAATCATCCTACTCTCATGGTCTTGAAATGTTCCATTCTTTCCTACTTTAAAACCATAAAATGCATTCTAAAGTTAAGATAAGAAAGTTAGAAGACAGGAAAGAGACTTAAAGGGTGCTTAGGCTAAGTACTCAGTTGACACATGAACCCCTCTCCAAACACTTGAATCCTTCCAGAGACAGGAAGCTCACTACTTAATGATGTAATTCAGTCTGGTTTTGGGCACTTCTCTTGCAAAATTCTTGCTGAAACTATGCTGACATCTGTCTAAGATATTAATTTGTATCTATAATATTTATCTGATCTTGTGGATTATCCACTATCCATTAGGGCAGTTAATAGAGAGTTGACATCATTTACTTCCTACTGTTACTTGTGAGGAATGTCAGTTTCTGTTCCCAACTCTCTTTGCCCAAGCAGATGATTGTTTGGTTGGTCTGAGGAGAGGGGCATCTGGTCCACAAAGGGCCCCAGTGGCTTCACTAGCCTGGGATAAGGTCCTCCCTGAAGCCCCAGACTTCTCACCGCGCTGGCCTTGTGGTGAAGGGTGTCCTGAAAAGTCATCCCGCTGCCCCAGTTTTTGATCCTCACGTGCCGTGCGCAGGCCGATGGGGGTACGTCCAACTTGACCTGGGATTCTGGAGACTTCTGAGAGGAGGGAAAAAAATCCAAGGTTTTCCACATGTCTCCAATCCCAGGACCCCACAGATCTCTCCCAGTCCCTGGGCCCTGCTTAGCTTTGGGTGGGGTGGGCAGTTGTGGGTGGGCACACAGAGCAGGCTGGTGTCCCATGGTCCCTCTTCCTTCCCAGCAGCTCAGCTGCCTGGGTCACTGTCTGCTAAGAGCTCTGGGTGCCCAGGCCACTGGCCAGGCTTCTTTCTCCACCCAACCCAAACCCAACCGAACCCGCTGCCAGCGAGTTGACTCTGATTCATAGGGAACCTGTAGGACAGAGTAGAACTGCCCACAGGGTTTCCGAGGCTGTCAATCTTTACAGAAGCAGACTGCCACATCTTTCTCCTGCAGAGCTGTTAGTAGCTAAGCACTTTAACCACTATGCCACCAAGGTTCCTCTACTCCCTTAGGTTCCTGCCAAGTGCTTCCTTAGAGGAACTGAAGCAGGAGGGACTAAGGTTAGATGGGAGACAGACTTCTTTCACAGCCAATACCTCAGAGAACAGCAATCAGGACGAGAAAGAAGGAACCACTGCCTTCCCTGGAGGCATGTAAGAATATGAAAGCCATCTCCTCCCCCACCTTCACCCACCTCCACCCACCTCTCTGTCCACCACTCTGGGACACAGGTTGAAAGCGTTTAGGGACGATGGAGCTCATGGGATGGAGTCTGGGACCAAAGGCTCAGCCACTGAGCTTGGGATTATTTTGGAATGTCCCACTCCTGGCTCCATGAATAGTCTGGAATTACCCCCCACACACACTACCACCACCTATGCCTGCCAGGCCATAGAGGCAAATCATCCAGGGGCCAACCTTGGGAACCACCACTCCTGACCACCATTGATCTTCCTGTTCACCCAAAGCCTTTTCTCACTCCCACCTGTGCCCCTCCTCCAGGGCTCTCTACTCTGCAAGCCCCACTTCCTCTGCCCTCCAGCCCCGCCTCCACCAGGCTGCTCAGCCAGCACCTGCCAGGGCAAGGGAGGAAGGGGATTCCCATGTGCATGTGACCCACTGACCTGTCCCGCCCCTGTGAGGGGTGGGGAGGACCCATTCCAGGGCTTGCTGAGGCTGTGACACTTGGTGTCATCCTGTGTCACGAGACTGCAAAAGGAAGCAGTTATGAGATTTAGTATCTGAAAGCCATGCGGGGTCCTGGGGTCTTCTCTGCCAGCACACTCATTTTTTTTTTTTTCTGAATTTTATTTATTTTGTCGTTATTGAGAATATACAGCAAAACACACAATTGAACAGTTTCTACATGCATAACTTAGTGACATTGTTTATATTCTTTGAGTTGTGCAACCATTGTCACTCTCCTTTTCTGAGTTGGTTCTCCCTCATCAACATAAACTCACTGCCCCCTAAGGTTTCTATCTAATCTTTTGAGTACCAGCACCCTCATTTGATAGATGGGGAAACTGAGGTCTAGAGAAAACGAAACCAAAATCACTACCATCAAGTCAATTTCAATTCATAGCGACCCTATAGGACAGAGTAAAATTGTCCCACAGAGTTTCCAAGGCTGTAAATCTTCATGGAAGCAGACTGCCTCATCTTTCTCCCTCAAGAGTGGCTGGTGAGTTCACTATGGTTTCCAGCCAAACCAAAGACAGGCATGTGAGTTGAACATTTACCTGAGGTAGATACACTCCTTGGAGAGAACAATCATGGGAGAAAGAAGGACTGTTTACGCACAGGTAGACAGCTCAGGGAACAGGAGTGCATGGAGGGATGGACACAGGGAAGAGGTAACGATCAGGAGGAAGTGGGAGGGGAGCTGTTGCATTGGGGTAAATTGTAGTCAATGTCATGAGACAAAGTGTCTGTGAACTGCTGCATGGAAAGTGAATTTGCTCTGTAAACTTTCACCCAAATCACAATTAAAAAAAAAAAAAAAGAGTGGCTAGTGGGTTCAAACCACTGAACTTTTTGTTAGCAGCCAAATGCCTTAACCACTATACCACCAGAGCTCCTTGAGGTCCAGAGAGGTGGAGTGGATTGATCATGTATCCACAATAAATCAAAGGCCGAACTATGGCCTGTCTCCTGGCTTCCAGGCAAGGAAGATGTGTGTGTGGCAGACAGGGGAGGGGGCGCATTGGTCAGACCAACTTCCCCCACCATCATCACCCTCCTCCCTTCTTTTTATCTCTTGCCTTCCCTCTACAAAGACAAGCAAAGCTAATGACCCGAACAGAAGCTCTGGGAACAGGCTACTCCTCAAAAGCCAAATACAAATGTGGGACAGGGGCTAGTGGACAGAGAATGAACCCCCCAACTCTGCCCTCCCACACCAGCAGGAGTGCCCACCACCTTCTAGTTTTTAGTGACTTCAGCTTTCTTTAAAACCCTTAATTTGCTGTTAATAGTCCTGTGAAGTCAATTCCGACTCACAGAGACCTCCCGTGTGCAGAGCGCGGCTCCACAGGGTTTTCAAGCCTAAGACCCTTCTGAATCAGGTCGCCAGGCCTATCTCCTCAGGCACTGCCGGGTGCCTTGGGATTGCCAACCTTCTGGCCAGTAGTCAAGAGCTAAACCATCTGCACCACCCGGGGACTCCTAAAAGTTTGATGTGGAAAACTGAAAACAGACCAAAGTAGAGGGGAGGAGGGATGGAAAAAAAAGAAAAAAGTAGAGAGAGTAGTGTAATCATGGGCTCCCCACCCAGATTTAACCCAATTAACGATTATTAACTTACAGCCAATCTTGTTCCAACTATATTTCCTAAACCCTGCTAGTTTTTTTAAAGCAAATCTAAGACATGATTTACAGCCATAAATATCTCTGTAAGCATTATTGGAAGATAAAGGCTTTAAAAATATCTACATATGTGTATATAAAATATTGTTGTTGTTATTGTTATTTGCCGTCGAGTCGGCCCCGACTCATAGAGACCCCTCCTTGGATTTCTGAGGCAGTATCACTACGGAAGTAGATTGCCCAACCTTCCTTCCGAGGAGTGGCTGGTGGGTTTGAACTGCCAGCCTTCTGGTTAGCAGTCAAGTGCCTTAGGCGCTATGCTACCAGAGCTCCTATATAAAATATATGTATTGAATATATGTGTGTGTGTGTGTGTTTTATTTATTTAAAAACAAGTTGCTTTTGAAGTAAAAAAAAAAAAAAGAAAGTTAAATTGCCTGAAGTCATTGAGAGTTGACTCTTGCTTGGGATTTCAGGTTTGCTCTCCTGGCAACTCTGCAGGGAGTAGAAGAAACACGATCCCTTTCTGCTGTGTGTGTGAGTACCCCTCTAATACCCACACCCCACACTTGACTCCACGTAGAAAGACTCACTCTACGGGTGCATCATACTAATTTGAAAGCTTGTGTAGTGTTCCATTCTCGTTGCAGCATTTTCTGGAGTGTGCACACGCACATCTGAGGAGATGGGGTTAGAGAGTATTACAAAGGTTTCTTGTTTTCTACTTTAGACATACCTGGGATGTTGGGATACAATGAAAGAGCACATACTGCTTTTTTATCAGTAAATGTAGTTACCATATATTTATATTAATGATATTATTAGCTACGGATATTGTTGTTAGATGCCATCAGGTCACTTCTGACTCATAGAGACCCTGTGGACAACAGAACAAAACACTGCCCGGTCCTTGCCAGCCTCACAATCAATGCCATGTTTGAGCTCACTGTTGCAGCCATTATGTCAACACATCTCCTTGAGGGTCTTCCTCTTTTTCGCTAACTCTCTACTTTACCAAGCATGGTATCTCTCTCCAGGTCCCTCCTATCAAGGAGCCCTGGCGGTGCAGTGGTTAAGTGCTTGGCCGCTAGTTGAAAGGTCAATGGTTGGAAAAAGATGAGGCAGTAACTGAGGGTGACTTGTTTGGGGTCCTAGGGTCCTGCTTTCCCTGCAGTCCTCACCCTTTCCACTCTCTTACACCTCCATATACCAAGGAGGGGGTGTATTACTGTAGGAAATTGTTCTGATTTGTAAAACAAAAACTTCTTTGCTCCCATAGCTCTATCTAAAGGGTGTACAGCCCCAGGGTGCTGAAAAATCCTCTGCAGAAAGCTTCCAAGTCCTGAAACGTCACAGTTCCTACCCAGCTGCACAGCCACCTCTCCTGGGAGTGAGCAGGCTTCTCTGAGCCATTTGTGGCTACTGAGGGACAACCTCTTACGGTTCTTACTGACAGCACCTAACAGCAACACGGTTCTGACACCACCAGTCTATCAGTTTGTGGCAGTCTGCGTGTTCCTATGATGCCGAAAGCTATACCACCAGCATTTCAAATACCAGGATGTCATGAAGGGCAGTTTTCAGCAGAGCTTCTAGACTCAGACAGACTAGAAGAAAGGCTCCCCAAAAAGTCAATGAAAACCCTATGGATCACAACAGAACATAATCAGACACAACGCTGAAAGATGAGCCCCCTACTTGGAAGGCATTCAAAATACACAGTGGCCGCAACAAAGGACATGGCTCAGGACTGGCAACGTTTACTTCTGTTGTGCACACGGGGTCCCCAAGACCGGGAGCTGACTCTCCCTCAGCTAAGAACAACAGTGCGTTTTGCACGTGGAAAACACTTGAAGTCAATCCTCATCAGAATCCTACAAGGCAAATATTACAACCGTTACAGTTACATGGGAAACCGCGGCTCAGAGACACTCAGTGAGGAGCCTCAGAGCCACCCAGCCAGCGAGCAGCAGCCGACTTCGAGCTCTGGTCCCGACGCGAGCCCCTCCCCCCCTCCCAGGGCAGATCCCGGCCCGGCGGGAATACCTCGCTCGGCTGCGGCGGCAGGCAGCCTGCGGCCGGAGGATCCTCCGGAGGAGGCGGCAAAGCCGGGGCCTGACGGCCTCGCACGCCGCGCCCAGCCCCTCGCGCATGGCCCGGGCGCCGGCGCAACTCCAAGAGCGCCCGGCTCCCGCAGGCGCCTTTATCGCTTCCAGCCCGCGCCCGGGGGCGGGGCAAGCTGGAGCAGCGGCCCGGACTCGCTTCGCGTAGCGTCCTGGGTGTCAGCCTTGCAAGCAGCCACCTCGTCACTGGCCGGCCACCTCTCGGCCGGCGCGTCAGCTTTGCTCGGTGCCATCTGGGGGGGACCCCCCCCACACCCAAAGGTCCCCACCAGGCGTCCTCAGTTTGCGGTTTGATGCCACTGGACTTTCTTCTCCTGGCCAAGAGTCTCTGGGATGTACGGCCTCAGGTTGGTTGGTTCCCCGCGAAATAACAACGATTGTAATAACTCCCGCTGCACAATGCCATATTGTTTACAAAGCAAACTTTCCTGTTATTTTATCTACTTCCTACTAAACCGGGTCCGGAAGTCAGTTTTATATTATTCCTATTTTAGTGAGGAGGAAGCTGGGACCCAGAGAGGTTAGGGATCTTGCCCAGGGCCACAAAGCAGCCCCAGGCCACAGCGCAAGCTCTCTCCACCTCACTTTTCTTTTCTCTGTGTTCTGAAAGATCCCACAAAGGAAGCCTAAGATAGCACAGTCTCTGTCCTCTGGCAGAGTGCAGGGTCCCTCCTGATCATATTGTTTGTTCCTGGTCATATTGTTGTTGTTGTTGTTGTTGTGTGCCGTCGAGTCAGCCCTGACTCATAGCGACCCCTCCTTGGGTTTCCGAGGCAGTATCACTACGGAAGTAGGATTGCCCAACCTTCCTTCCGAGGAGTGGCTGGTGGGTTTGAACCATCAGCCTTCTGGTTAGCAGGCAAGTGCCTTAGCCACTATGCTACCTGGTCATATTAGGGCATATTTAATTCCAAACCCAAATGGAAATACAGTAAAAGAGGACACCTATTTATTCTGAGCTAATTGCAATCCAGCTGACAACATGTAGGTCTACTTTATTCCAAATTCCCTATTTCTCCCCGTAGATGTTCCCACATTTGTGTTTGTTTCTAAAACACGTACACACAACACCCACAATTCCTAATCATTTGTTTACATGGAGCATAGATTCATTAATCACATATTATAGTAGGTTATTGGTCTTATTAGACCTAAATGGATTTGAAGACTACTTTTTAAAATCAAAATATATGAATTGGCTCCTAGTGCTTTTAGGATAAAATCCCCTTTGCACTCCTGCTTCCTTTTCCAGTAACATCCTCCCTGCCCCCCTCCGAC